TGTGATATGGATGACTAGTATTGATTGGGATACTGACTAACGATCATATGGATAACTGGAATGCAATATGATTATGTTCAGCTAGCTTAAGAGTCATCTAGTTCATTCATATGTCTTGATGTCCAGCTTGAAATACCCCAGATTTAGATTATCGTATATAGAGCTATATAACCAACCCAAAAATAGATATATTGCAACCAATCAATTCAAGGACCTTTGTAATACTGCAAAGCTGATTCTAATGTAATGTAAAGCCTGTATACTCTATGTACTATGTATGTAATTTATCATTTTGAGCTATGCTGCACTTCGTTCTTATGCTAGATGACGATTATTCTTTCGAGTCCAGTTGGCCTACACGTGATAGAAAACGTGACTGATTGTCTTTTGTCTCTTCTCCCAACGGACAAAAATTTTTGCCTGAAAAAAATTTGCCGGCAAATGCTTACATAATTTTGTTAGTGAAATTTTCAAAAAAAAATGAACGATCCCGTTATATGTGTTTGCAATATTTTACTATTCAGACGTTTGAATTAAAGTGCTACAATTAGTACAATGACGTTTAGATAAAATATAAATTATATTAGAAGAAGACGTAAGGACAAAACGTCCATGGGCCCAGTTATAAGTCTGCAATTTCTCTTATACTAGATATTTGAAATTCTCTGCATGATGCCAATTTTACTTAGATCTGACTTACAATTAGCTTCATTAACGTTACTCCAGCTATACGTACCTTGAGGAAAATTGAAGAATCGAATTTAGCCATCAGTAAGTTGTCAGTTAGATAGAAGCTCAAAGATTTGTTGGCTATTTGTAAATATGGAGCTCCAACAAGCCCAATTAGGCAAGTCATCAGCACCTTCCTAAAATAGAGAATTTCCTAATTTTGACTTTCCATGTGGTTTTTCAAAATTTCTTTTGAAAAATTTATAAACGTTTTTAAAGGCATCAGCAATTGACAGAATATTTGAGATTTGAACCTTTAATCTTTTACTATCAACCATAAATTTTCAAAATACATTGATATGGAAACAATAAGCTAATAGAAAACCTGATTTTCAAGCAATTATAGTCACCATCAAGAGTACAAATCCAATAGTACCTGTCAACATCTTAAATCCGCAGCGATTAGGTTTAAAAGATCAACATCTTATAACGGCTTTTTAATCAATTTAACATGACTTTGGAAATTAACGGACAACCCACAAATATTAATATATCTGATTATTTTGAAGTCAGACAGACTCAGTATGGTAGAGCCTGTTTTGCGAAGAAGGATATACCCAAAGGCGTTGATGTCCTGGTCTCAAACACACCATTTACACATGTGATCTTGCACGAATTTAGAAAAGAAGTCTGCGCAAGTTGTTTCCATTATGAGTTTGGTAAATATTGCAAAGTGAAGATTTCTTCATTGCCAAATATGACGAAGAAGAACTTCAAAGGTGCTGGGTTATGGTTTTGTTCTGAAAGCTGTAAAGAAACATGGTTACAATATGATAATACTGGTGAATTAACCGAAGCCTTTGAAACATTCTTGGAGTATTTTCAAATGAAGGCAAAAACTCAAATTGAAGAAACTGATTACAGCCCCAAAATCACACAGGAATTTATTGAAAACTATTGGAAAGATATAAACGAATGGGATGAAAAAATAACAAAAATGAAAAAATCTAAAACATATAGTAAGTTGCCATTTTTGAATGAAGATGAATACACTGGAGCACGATTTATCATTCATGCCTTATTTGATATTTACAAGAAACATGAGTCTTTACCACTATTCAATGAACTTCAATCAAACGAGTTACAGAAAACCTCCAGATTCCCAGTTCTTTTAAGATCTCAAGGTTTGATTTATCAGTTTTTGAGGATTGTTCTACCAGATTATTTGCAACCTTTTTTAACAACAGACTCTTTGAGAATGATCTTTGGCCGTGAATACGGTAACTCATTTGGTATTTGGCAGCTGGTGGATGAAGGTTCAAATGAAAATAAGGAATTTTTGGGTTATTGTTTATTCCCAGAGGCATCATTCTTCAATCACTCTTGTTCACCAAATTTGAAAAAATTTAGAAAGGGGAATAGGATGATATTTCAAACAACAAAGGATGTCGAGACAGGTCAACAGATGTGCATAGATTATTTCCATATCCTTGATGAACCTCTCTTGGTTAGACAACAAACTTTGTCCAAGAATTGGTTCTTTGACTGTGCCTGTGATAGATGTTCCAAAGAACTCAAAACCGAGAATTGTCAAGTAAAGCCTCCTCTAGAGCAGATTTACTAACACTGAATGCTAAGAACCTTGAGTTAGTATAATTAAATAGCATATATAGCATAAAAATAGCATACATACATGATAAGTTAGATAATGAGGACTCTGTAGTTGTTTTAACCTTCCCTGGTGATTCATTATTGAATGATATGCTTTCAAAACCTTCAGCAGCCTCGTCTTCATCTTCATCTGAATCATTGAATTTTGGCGGTGGTTTTGATAAGATTCTTGATCTATGCAGGAACACCGATTCTTGGTTAAAGTTGTCACCCGAATCAGATGAAGAATCAGAATCAGATTGATCTTGTGTGAAAGTTGCATTTTGATCAAACTTTGCTTCATGTTCTACCGGTGGTTGTGGGTCTAGCTGAACATATTTCTTGACATGTCTCAGTTGTTTAGGTTGGTTCTCAAACATGTTGAAACTTTTGGTGGATGTCAATGACTCGTCATTGTTGTTGATTGTTTTGTCTTCAGGCGTTGGTGATGCAATAGCTCTCGTTTCCTCTGTGATCGTTTCAGCAGACTGGACACCTTTTTTAATTTCACTCTTCAGCTGTTCAAGTTCATGCTCATAGAGCCAATATGCCTGTTGTTGAAGGAACGAAACCGATACTCCAAATTGTTCAGACCTGGGGCAAAAGAAGTTAGAAAGACTCTCATCATCGATGAAGCTTATACTCACAAACTATTCCCTTGAGACAGTTAGTACAATGCAAGCCGTGCACAATCTTTAATACTCACAATCCACTTCGCTTCTCTTTGATTTCGATAGCACTTTCCATAGTCTTTGTTCCTTTTCTTCACTCCAGTTGACCTGTTTTTGTTAGTACTGACTTCTTTAACAAACATTACAAAATACCCACATTCACTGGATTAACAAAGCCAGCCCTGTTCACTGGAATCTTGATATAGACAGTTCTCTTCATGGCGTTATGGTGAGCCAGTTTGACCTATCTAAAGAATTAGAAGTTAGAAGCTGATTTGACATTGTTCTCTTTTGACGTGTCGCGAAAAGTGTAATTCTTCAACTTCAGTAAAACATAACAGTATTACACAACAACGCAATTACTTATCCAACCAAAAGCCCACAAAGATAATGCTTAAATGCAGAGGAGAGATAGAGAAGACTTTTATGTTACAGGGACGAATTCTTCCAGTGGTGATGAGTTCAAAGTCCAGGTGAATACCTATGATACTTACCAAGCAACGCCATCCATCTTTGATAGATCTGGCCCTCCAAATGGCGACGAGAGTTACTCTTACTACCAAGTTCCAGTGATCAGAGTCTTTGGATCTATACCTACAGGTCACAATATTCTTACTCATATTCATGGGGTGTTTCCTTATCTCTATATACCATATGATAACCAAGATTGTTTCAAGTTTCAAAAATTGTTGGAGGCTGTTATGTCAGAGTCACTGAAGAGAAAGAAAAAGGAGCAGTCTGATTCAAACGAGAAGCCAAGTGATGAGGATTGTAAGCTATTCAAGTATATTGCACATGTGTCAATTTGCAAAGGTGTTCCGTTTTACGGATATCATGTTGGATATCAAGCTTTTTACAAGATTTACCTATTGAATCCATCCTATTCCAATAGACTTTCTGATTTGCTTCGTGATGGTAAAGTGAATGGAAGAAAATACGAGTGTTTTGAGTCTCATATCCCTTATGGTCTTCAATTTTTAACTGATTTCAACTTGTTTGGTTGTGGATGGCTTAGGCTCAATAGTTTGTTCATAAGGACTCCAATTCTATACGATGAGACTGCAAAGACACCAGAACTCGTTGACTACCTAAGTGGATATCAGCCAACGGATATGGATAGAATAAGCTATAGTGCTTTAGAAATTGACACCTGTGCACAAAATATTCTTAATAGGCTTGATTTGAAAGAGAGAAATTTACACCATGCATTCGTGGAGAAATTTAACCCACCGTCTTCAGATATTTATGTTCAAAGTACTAGAGACCTATGGAAAGATGGTGATTATCAGAGGAAGTTGAAAGGCAAAGCAGAATATTCAACACCACCGTCTACTTCAAGAAGCCCAAATGTTACCTGGGTCGAGAGTGACGAACATTCGCAATTATTTGAGTATGCAAAGAAGCTTAATTCAACTCAAGATGACCCAGATTTTGGTACTTTCTTGAAAAAAGACACCTGGTTAGATGATATTAAAACTGCTTTTGACTCAACCATAGAATTATTTTATGAGCCTGAACTTAATGCTGAACCTGAAAAAGTTGACAGTAGTGGTGCTGATACTGTTGATAATGGTGACCCTTATGACTTTCTCATGGACTTTGGTGAAGACCCAGAGGGCTTCAAAGACAAGGATGATGGTCGCCTATTGTTTGAAAATGCGGACGAGGATTTACAAAAAAGACATGGTCTTGATTCTATCGATGAAAGTGCAGAAAGCAATGGGTATTTCTCCAACGATTCCAAAGATGACTTTACTCTCAATGATATATCAGATATCCAGCTGACTCAGAAACTTACTACGAAATTTTCGTTGAAGCGGAGGTACTCGGTGGCTTTTGACATTCCAAGACTCAATGAACCACCTAAAGGCAATTTCAAGAAAATTGGTTCATTGCGATATTCTTATAACAAGCCACCACCGGAAAATCTTGACTTTGAGGCCATTGGACTACCAACGATAAACTATGATGATCCATTTTATATGAATGAAGTCCCGAAACCATTTGTTTATGGTGGAAAGAAGTTTAAGCTTGGGTCAAAGAAACTAGGAAATTTGGGAGAAATTGAAGTGTTTGGAGAATCAATTTCAAAAGACATTCAAAACCAGCTGAAATCATCACTTGACTGTTTCAAGAAATGGAGGTACACCAAAGAACCACCCTCTTATAAACAAGTCAAAGAATACATCCATGAAAGTCAAATAAAGTCTCAGATTGGAGTCACCCAAAGGCATAAGTACGCTGTACCCAAGACTAATGAAAGAAGACCAGATGGATCCAACCATATGACAGTATTGATTGTTGAAGTACATGTGAATACAAGAGGTGAGTTCAAGCCAGATCCTAAAATGGATGAGGTGTCTACAATTTTTTGGCGCACAATGAATGGCTCATCATATGAAGAAGGTGCACTCATGTTCAATTGTCCCCAAGTCATTCCAAATATCAAGTGTCGGGTGTTTTCCAACGAGCTAGTTATGTTTGAAGAATTTGCTGATTTTGTGAGAAATTTTGATCCCGATATTATTGCTGGATATGAAGTTAATTCATCCTCTTGGGGTTATTTGATTGATAGATCTAGGGCCATTTATGAATTTGATTTTGTCCCTGAGCTCTCAAGGGTTCATTTTAAAAGTCATAGCAAGATGGGTGATCATTGGGGCTACACTCATACATCTGCAATCAAAATTTGTGGTCGTCATGTTCTTAACATTTGGAGACCTTTAAGATCATTGAATCTGCTCAAGTATACCATTGAGAATGTATCCTACCATGCATTACATGAAAGAGTTCCACATTTCACCAATAAGACATTGACTGAAATGTTCTCACAAGACTTTCTATCACTTGCAAGTCATTTTTTGAAAAAGCTTGAACTTGACGCAAGACTGATAGAGACACAGGAATTGATCACAAGGGCTGCTGAAGAAGCTAGATTAATTGGTATTGATTTTTATGATGTGTATTATAGAGGTTCACAGTATAAGGTTGAATCATTTATGGTTAGAATGGCTAAAGCTGAAAATTTTATGTTGTCATCACCAAGCAAAAAGCAAGTTAGAAAACAAAAGCCTTTAGAATGTATTCCTCTTGTTATGGAACCCATATCAGCTTATTACAAAAGTCCTTTGATTGTTTTAGATTTTCAGTCATTATATCCTTCAATTGTCATTGCTTATAACTATTGCTACTCAACATTATTGGGAAGACTGCGAAACTATTCAAAAAACTCAAATCAGATAGGTACTGGATATGTTAAACACCCACCAGGACTATTGAAACTTTTGGAAAATGATATTAATCTCTCTCCAAATGGGTTGATGTTTGCTAAGTCATCAGTTAGAAAATCATTATTGGCAAAGATGTTGGAGGAAATTTTGGATACAAGATTTATGGTGAAGTCTACCATGAAATTTTTAGATGAAAATTTGAAACAACTTTACCATAGTCGCCAATTGGCTCTGAAACTGATTGCCAATGTGACATATGGGTATACTTCTGCTTCTTTCTCCGGTAGAATGCCTTGTTCAGATATTGCTGATGCTATTGTCCAAACTGGTAGAGAGACTCTAGATAGAGCTGTTGATTTGATTGAGAATGAAGCCAGCTGGGGTGCTAAAGTTGTCTATGGTGATACTGATAGTTTGTTTGTTTACTTACCAGGAAGAAGTCGAGATGATGCTTTTAAAATCGGAAAAGAAATGGCTGATGCTGTTACTAAAAGCAATCCAGATCCTGTGACTTTAAAATTTGAAAAAGTTTACCATCCATGTGTGCTGATGGCAAAGAAAAGATATGTTGGTTATTCCTATGAAAATGAGAATTCGCCTGTGAAGTTTGATGCTAAAGGGATTGAAACAGTTCGACGGGATGGTCATCCTGCCCAACAGCATATCGTTGAACAATGCCTGAGGATATTATTTGAAACCAACAATGTCTCTAAAATTAAAGAGTTTGTTCAAGATCAATTCAATAAGATCACCTATAATAAAGTGTCTGTTCAAGATTTTTGCTTTGCAAAAGAAGTGAAAATTGGCTCTTATAAGCAACCACCTCCAGGTGCTGTTGTCAGTACTAAGAAGATGGAACAAGATGCCAGAGCTGAACCTCAGTACAAAGAAAGAGTGCCATATGTTATTATTCAAGAGACAGGATCAATTTTAAGAGAACGGGCAAGGTCACCTGAGGATTTTTTAAAGAATAACTACAAGTTAGATGCTGAATACTACATTGTCAAGACTTTGATTCCCCCACTGGAAAGAATTTTTAACTTGTTGGGTGTTGATATAAAACCATGGTACACAGAATTACCAAAACCTGCTAAAAAAGGTTCAATCTATAATTCGCTATGCCTTTCATGCAGCATACCCACAAGATCAAATCTTTGTCAAAGCTGTCAAAAGAACGAACTAAAGACCATTTTGAACTTACAGCAAAGGATGAAGACAATCGAGAACAGAATGAAAGATCTATTAGTTGTTTGCAGATCATGCTCAGGACATTCAGTTGCTTGCGAGTCTCATGACTGCCCTGTTTATTATGCAAGAGTTAAGGAAGGAAACAAGCTCAAGGAAGCAATTGATGTAAAGAAAAGATTAGCAAATGTACTTGAATGGTGAAACAAAAGTTTATCTAGTTTATTTATTCTGTAGTGTATCTATTCTTGCTTTGAGGTCAACTCAACAGCTTTTTGACCAATATAATGATCTTCATGGTCTTTCAATCCACTAACAGTGATAACGGCAGTTATGAAATCTTTTGAACCTTCAACTCTAATAGGGAAACCACCACCATAGACGGTATAAACTGTTGGATCTAAAGCCTTGTCCTTTAGGGTTCTTCCCAATTTCTTGAATCTTTGGCCAAATCTATAACTACTAGCATTGAATCTAATGACAGTGTTTCTCTTCATCTTGACCCACTCTTCATTATCTGGTTGGATCTCATTCAATACTGTTCTGAACAAAGTGGCGCCTGTGGTTAATGTGATATCAATAACAACTGGTCTTGATGGGAACTCAGTCTCTGCGATTTCCCTTGCTTTCAAACCTAGCTTGAATGCAGTGTCGCAACTAAAGGTTTTAAAGTAGTGCTGTTCTTGAGCAGCCAAGGCTTCTAAGTCAATTGAGTCGGTGGACATTTTTGATAGTGCTTTATAACAGGTATGAATCACAGAAAGAAAGAAATGGAACCCTTTTAATGTTTTCGAAGTTGAAAGGATTGACGTCCGAGAAGTGTTTACTTGGGAGAAAATCCGCGAAAAGCCGTTGAATAATGACAGAAGTACATAATGTGTAACAGCACCTGATTGCAACACTTTGGTTTCTATATTACTATATACTACCTACTGCGAGTCAAGCCTCTTGAGATTATGGAGAATATCCATCTTTTCCACATCCTCATAGGAGGGGCATTCATTCAAAATGGTTATCTCACATTTCTCATTTTCCACTACTGGTATTTCGTTCAATCCTGTTCCAGAAATGTTTAAATGTTTCAAGTTCTTTGACGAAAAAGTGAACTTTGTCAATTTTTTGATACCGGAAATATCTAAAGACTCTAAGTGAGGGGCATTAAGTATCTTGTTAGTTAGCTGTAGTTTAGCAGATGTTGATAGCTTGAGGTGCCCAATATGCGATGGAATTGACACAGTTGGTGGGACTGCTACTTCTGGATCTGGTGAAAAACTGGGATAATAGATCTCTTTATGGTTATTGATGACACATTTTGGAACAGAATCAGAAATGTCAAAAAACGTTTTGAACCAAAGATGTAACTCTTTGATCTTACAATCCTTCAAATGTTGAAAATGTACCAATGCAATATTTGTAGTGAAACGATCAAGTTCTAACCCTTTCAACCCATTTAATGTTATTTCCTTAAGATAGAACGGTGTTTTTGAATAATTTTTTGAAATCTCCAAGTTTTTCAAATTTGGCATATTCTCTGAAGAGATTGGTAAGTCTCTAAATGGACGAGGATCATTCAAAGTCAATTTCAACGTCTTTAAATGCTCAAATTTGTAATTTTTTAAACAAGCCAGCTCTTTTAAATTATCACAGTCAACATATGGGTCAAATTCTAGCTTTTCAATATTGATGATCCCACTAATAAAATTCAAGTATTCCAACTTGGGTACTTTGAGTGCCTTCAATGATGGGAAACTAAGATGACGAAGACCATCAATTGAAATCTCTTTCACTTCTCCTGGATGAATACCCAACTTTTCCACCAAATCTGGACCATTAATAGATTTTGAAACATCTGACAAAAACTGAACTTTCTCATAAGTGACATTCTTCGGAAGAAAATATGATCTTTCAATTGAAAAATATTCTAAAGATTCGGCTTTGAAGTTCGTTAAAAGTACCATATCATCATAGCTTATACGCAACTCTTTCAATGAATCAAACTGACAATAGTTAATTGCAGAAATTTTGGTGTTCTTGTTCACGATTTTGCTCAACTTTGGAAGGACACAATCTTTGAACATGATATGATGTTCTGGTGGTTTTTCCTGAATTAATTCCATAACTTCAAGATTTGGGAGGTTATAATTTGAGAATATCAGTGGCATACTCCTATTATTTGTCATGAGGATGTCCAATCTCTTGAGAAATGGTGAGTTCAAGATCTTATCAACAACCTCATTGGTGCCCAACCTTATCTTATTGAACAACGTACAGACATAGATTGATATTTCATGGTCTTCAACCTTCATTTCAAAATGACTTTCATTACCAACGTTTATCAATTCCAAGAAGTCCAGGCTAACTAATTTAGGGAAAACTTTTTCAATGCTTTTGATAGAGTGACGGCAATGAACATGGAGTTGACAATGTTTTTTGTACTTGATCAACTTTTTGAAAACATTATTTAAACATTTGAAGCCTTCCTTTGTTTCAATATGGATAACAAAATAACTGAGATTTTCTTGAATGGCATTTTGAAGCTCAGAAATATGTATTATTTTCAAGTTGACTTTATTCCATGGCGGCTCAAGAATCTGATATCTCTTTTTCTCACCATCAACAGGATTTGGATGATCAATCAAAATGCAAACATGTTTCTCAACCAGATGTCTTAAAGGAACTGTCTTAATTAAGGGTTCAAACTGTTTCAACTCTTGGATTTCTTGTATTGTTTTGTAAATATCTGTCATAAAACTTGATAATAAATTACCAAAACAATATGGTTGATTATTTGGAAGACTTCAACCCATTATATATCAGATCAGTCGCATCGTGGCTTGAAGAAACACTGACAATTGAAGGCAGCAAGCCCAAGAGCAGCAACAAGGACCTCAGCCGATTAGAGCGTGTACAATGTTCATGCGTTTGTTGTTGATGATGATGTTGATGATTTTTGTCGGCTTTTCAAGGACTCTTTCTTTTCGCGATCAGCGGTCATAACGTTTTAAGGGCTCAGCCCGTTCATAAAGGCTTGATTCAAGTGAAAAGCTCGAATCGTGACTGTAAGCCAAGTTTTAAGCCATCAGTTTGATAAAGTATGTTTGTATAGCCATGCTGTGCTGCTGGCTTCAGCTATGCTATAATCTATTGTTCTACGTTACGAGATAAGATTGTGTATCGGTAAATCGATTAGTAGAGGAAGGCTTAGTTGAAAGAATATGTATAGCCAAATGATCACAGTCTTAGCAGCACATTGGGATCTGACCACGGCTGTATCCATTAGCTTCTACCGACAATTATGACAAGCTGCTCATCTTTATGTGTACCAATTGAGTTTTTGTGCAATTGATTTTTAGCTTTCGGTCAATACTTTGACACAAAAACCAAAAACAATTATCGATATGAAAAACCTCATCCACAAGGTCAATGATTGAAAAACAATACAAACTTTCATAATGAGACTGTAGATACCTTATTTATCACATCAAACTTTGCTATTTTTTGATTTGAACCCATACAACACATTTTGCTTATAATATTAGCTTATCAAAAACATCAATAATCAACTAAATAGAAGGTACAACTTATCCATCAATTTCATCATTCAGTCTATCAGAAGCCAAACATGGATCATCAATCAACTTTATTTGCTCCTGGAATAGGTGGTACAGTTCGTGGTTCAAGATCAAGGATAATGTCATTTTCCAATTTCATTGATAGGGGGAAAAAGAGTGGTAGACTATTGTTTGGTGGTTCATCTAGAGACTCAAGCCAAGTAGATCTCAACAATAGTGGGACACACAGTAAAGAGCAGACATCAGCTAATGCTACTAAATTATCACCCAACAGTCAACTTCCAACTTTGGTTACAAGTATCCGTGCTACTGTTGTTGGTAATTCTTCATCACAAGATCAACCAAATCGTAAGCCATTGCTTAACCATAACTTCGAAAATAAGGCAACAACAACTAAAGGAGGTCCAAACAAGTTCCACATGAAACCGCTTACTAAAAAGATCGAGGCTAAAATGAAAGAATTTGTTCTTGATGATGAATATGCTGACGATGAAGAAGTTGAGAAAATCCAAACAATAGGCCCAAGTAAATTTATTGAAAGAAAATCAAAACCAACAACACGTGAATCAATAGAAATAGCTGATGCCACCACACCTGATAGTAATAATTCAAAAGACTTCCAGCAAAATTTCATTGGAAGAAGAGTGGTTCAATTGAGTAATCTTTCACCGTTTGTTGGTATTAAGTCAATTATTGCACAAATAACTGGTGGTCCTTTGGAGAAGATTGTTATATTATCCAACAGCCTTGCAATAAATAATAACCGTTTCACTGGAGCTCCAAATAGAAATCCAAGTTTAGAGTTATGGTTTGTAAAGCCTGATGATGCTGAAAGTTTTATGAGATTTAGTTTGAGTGGAATGTTTCTTATCAATGGATTTCATTATCAACCTCAATGGGCACCTCCACATTCACTTTTAAGATCTCAAGAACCATACCATATTCCATTGAAACCATTTATTCTAGAAGAAGTTGAGCAGACTGGAGCACGTCGTTGTTTAATACTAAAGAAACGAGCTGGGTCATCCGCTGGTAGATCATCAAGACATTATCCATCTCCAAAATCACATTTATCAGAATTGAGCATTCCAATAATTCATCAGGACTTCCATGAATTTGGTGAGATTTTAGAAATAACACCAGTTATTTCAAGGAAGCTTTGTGTTGTAATTCATTATTTCCACATTGAAGGAGCAATTAGGGCCAAGAAATGCTTTGAAGATAGGAATTCAGAGTTTTATCAGAAATATAGCCAATGGTCTCTATGGTATGGTAAAGATCCAGTTGATAAACCTTGTATAAATATTTGAGCCTGGTTTCCTTTGACTGAACGTGTAGATTGAGCTCAGCAGCAACAATACCAGTAGCAGCAAGCAGGCTCGAATTCAAGCATCATCTTCAACTGGATTCAATTGATTTCAATGTTGATTTCAAATGTCGATTTTTTTGTAGATTTTTAGTTTCGCGAAAAACTGAAAATCACGAGTTCTGAAAATCAAACTTCACTCTTTTCAAGCAATTCTAGTTAGGCAAAAAGTTGATAAAATCCCCAATGTTCAGACCCTCGATAATACGGATCCAATGTCGATTCAATTCCACAGTGGCTAGTCAAATCAATGTTTCTTCGAAAGAGTCTTTTTTAAAATCATTAGAAGCAAATCCAACGTTACTAAAACTATGGCATACACATCATCATAAACCTGAGCCAGATTTAATAAATGCAAACAATACATTACCTATTGTCTTGAGAACCAAGAAAGTTGTCTTTGAAGATATCCAAAAGGAGAATCCAAAGAGTGAAGGTGTTCAATTGAAATTTAAACAATATACTGGTTATTTCAAATCAATTATTCATTTTTATAGAATTGGTATTCAAAATGTATGGCAAAATAGGACAAGAGTTGCAGAGATCAAATCAAAGTATTCCATTGAAAATGTTGAACAAGATGGATCCATCACGAAAAGGAAATTGAAAAACAGTGGAGATTTAATAAATTTATTAAATGCTTTAGAAACCATGCAAATTATTGAACAAGAAACTTTGAAAAAATTTGATAAAACTACAATACTTAACCTAAACAGATTAGAATTCCAAACAATCTTGAGAACACAACAAGATTTTTATAAAATTCCATTATTCGCCATGATTTTACTGGTATTTGCAGAGACTACACCAATATTATGCTATATTTTCCCCGAGTTGGCACCATCAACTTGTGTCTTCCCCGGATTATTGATCAAGAAATATTCATCATCAACTAAAGCCTTCCAACAGTTGACTAAACTGAGACTGGAAAGGTATGGTGCAGTGTATTCCCAGGGTGAGATACCTTTCCAAAGCGTTTATAAATTACCTCATGATGAGTTGAAATTACTCGTACAGTCCCTAAATCTAAAATCAAAATATTTGCCAGTTTTCCTATATCCAATATCTACATTACAAGCCCGTTTGAAGTTCCATTATGATTTGATTAAAGTTGATAATCATTATTTAATAAATGGTGAAGATGGGAATAATATTTGGGGGTTGAATAAGAATGAATTGATAAGAAGTTGTTTGGATAGAGGGTTATTGGATTTGGAGAAAGATGATTTGATTCATATTGGTGCTCATACTCTAAAATTAAGATTATTGTTCCATTTATGTTTTTCTAATGAGGATAAAAGTATTGGGAATGTTGGTGTTTTCGGTATTAATCAATTAGGATTAGATAATGTCTTTTTCAAGAATATTGGAAATGATGAAGCTCATACATTGTATGGCTGGTGGGGTCATGAACATAAAGGAGAAAAATAAACTACGATATGAAAAATAATATATAGGTATATGTTTATAATATGACATTGGAATATGAAATTATTTAAGATCACTCTTTGTTTCTCTGGCATATATAGTAATATCGTATTATGTTTTGATCATTCTCGTTAAAAATAAATAATATTGGGTTCTTGCTTTGATTTTTCTTCGTAACTTCATTATTGTTTCACTGGTTTCTTTTGATCTTTATAATCTTGTAAATGTGCCTCTTCTTCTTTAACAAATGTATGATGATGACCAGAAGCATGTATAGTTTCACCTTTTGAATTCATTGTACATGGAGTTATTGAACTAAACCATTCATCATTGAAAACATCATCTAAAGTTGCTCTAAAATTTGGATCCACAGTCAACATTTTAGAGATTATTGGTCTCGAAGCATGTGGTAATAATCTCATTAATCTATAAGGACCATGGATTGTACGATGATGAGGTTTTTGTTCACCTGGAGGGATTGGTTTTTTATCATTTTGAGTATGAATTAAATCTTTTTCATCATGAGAGACTGGGATAGTTGAATGAATTGATTTTTCAGTATCATTTGTCTTTTCATCATGTTTATCATGAGCAATTGTAGTTTCATTTAAAACTTCAGTAATTTTTTCAACACCGTTATTAGAACTTGATTCTGCATTTATTTGTCTCAATTTTTCTTCTCTTTTCTTTGCCAATAATTCTTTATGTTGCTTTGCAGATAATTCATAATCATGAGGATTATCATCAGGCATACAATATAATTTATAAGAAGGATCTGATAATTTTGGAGCCTTCCATGGGAATCTTTTCAAAGTCATACAACAATAAATGATTGCAATTGACCAAATATCAACAGGTTGAGGATCATATTCTCTTTTAGTTAAAACTTCAGGAGCTAAATAAGGATCAGAACCAACAACGCCATGAGCTTTAACAATATTTTCTTCAAATGGATATCTGAAAACAACAGCAGAACCAAAATCAATTAATTTTAGTATACCTTGTTCAGTAACAACGCAATTATCTAATTTTAAATCACGATGAGCCAGACCCATTTCATGTAAATATTTAACACCTTCAGTAATTTGTCTTAGACAACAATTGATTTCACCTCTAGTCATTTTCCCACTCATAACAACAGCAAAGAAATCAATTGGACAATATTCCATAACTTCGAAATAATGACCATTTTCATGAGCAATATCTAAAGTTTTAATGATATTTGGATGATGTAAAGTTGAACCGATACAAAATTCAGCAGTACATTTTTTAGCATAATCTTTTAATTGTTCACCAGATTTCCTTGGACGGAACTCTTTAACTGCAAAAGTTAGACCATCTGAAGGTCTTGTTAATAAACGAACAGAACCACCAGCACCTGAACCTAAAATTTTCCCCAATTTACCATATTTTTGAACCAATATTCCATCTTGAGCTAAAGGATCAGTTGAAGTTTTGGATAATGAGATTGTACTTGAACTTGGGATATTTATTGAAGATTTAGATGGGGGGCTTGAATGTTTTTTCATTGAAGGTCTAAAGAATCTTTTCAATTCCAGTACAGAATGATGATGATGAGTGTTGTTGTTATTGTTATGGTTCAGATCCACTATTGAAGTGTTTCTGGAACTTGAAGATGGAGGAGAATGTCTTTCAACTTGTTGATATTCATGATGATGAGGATGTTGACTATCAGTATGAGTAGCTGATGGAGATTCATGATCTGTTGAATCTCCAGAATCATGTTTACCTAAACTTATACCAAAGAACGATCTTCCCTTTGAGTTAGCAGGGCTTCCCGCCCTACTCTGTGACGAGCTTGAGTTGTTTGTATGGAGGGTGAATCTTTTGGGCATTATGAGCTGATTGATATATTGATAATATTAGCTTGTGTAAAGTGCAAATGAAGAGTTTAATTATAAAGAAGGGAACTTCAACAACGGCATACAAGGATTATTTAATGGATGGTGGTGATGATGGTGATGGTGATCTTTGGTGAATATTGAGGATATGGCTAATACAGGCTAACCAGGAGCTTCAAGGTGTTTCTGATGTTTGCTATGATTCACACGAGTGGTTCTTCCAACCTATCAATAATAGTAATAACCAACGTAGCGGGTCCAAGCAGTGAATAAATAAGAAAGAAGAAAGTGAAAATTTGAATCAGATGAATCACCGTCTTCGCTGAAACGAGCAGTCTGGTGGAAATGTTGTTGTTGTTGTTGCTGATTGAGTTGTGGATTGGTGGTGATGCTATTGTTATACCACAAAATAATATTGGTCCTGCTGCCGGCTTGTGCCGTCCTAGCCGCTCTGGAAATTGTAGCGGCAGAGGCGGGAGGAGGGCGCCAGGCAGAGATGCTAGGCAGAGGAGCCCTAGGAAGACCCTCTCTCCGGTACGCCATCGCCGGGCAGAGAGCCATTAAAACACTCTGTGCTGGGTGGCCGGTGTGTGATGGCAGCCGTCAGCCAACTGGACAGAGACGCAGAGACTGGAGCCATCGCGTGGCTGATGGTTTTATTCAATCTTGATCAGAAAATTTCTTTCAACTACAACAACATTAAAAGTATGTTGAAATCAGAGATATGGGTCTCAGGTTTTTGGAGTCCTTTATATGCTTTAATCTTTAATCTGCTTGACACAACTGCAAACTTTTGTATCTCTCTACAAAGCGTTGAGCAGGTGATGTCAGCTCTTTTATTTGGAGATCCTTCGTATTGTACCTTGTACCTTTCCTTATTCTTGAGATATAGACTAGTTAGCTACAGTGGGTAACAACATTAATAACAATTTTTGGTTGAGTTATCAGATTTTTGACCATGGAACACCATGTCAGTTGGTCAGATCTGAATAAACTCAGCTAATTCAATTTCTTTTGAGATGACCAGAGAATCGTAGTTCAAATATGGAGCTTGATACTTAATACTTCAGGCTCTTGATTTCAGTTTTTTCAGTTTTTCAACATTTTCGCGATTTCGCGATTTCTTAAACTTTTGTTTGTTTTGTTTTCATTTTGGAAAAACAATACATTCAAAGACCAACATATTGACAAAGGGCTTAAGAGCTTAACGTTCCCTACATACACTCATTCTCATCCACTGGACACTCAAAGAATGTCCCTTCTCTCAGCTAAACAAAGGTCTGATCTCAACACTTCAATACTCAACTATTTAAAACCATTAGTATCCCAAGACTGTATCACAAACTTACAACAAGAATTACAAATAGATGAACTAAAAGATGATGGTGATCTTTTAACCAAGAAATGGAACGCTATAATACGGCTACAGAAGAAAATCATCGATTTAGAATCCCAAGTTGACCAATTATCGAAACAATCTACAAATTCTTCATATCTAACTTCATCAAATACAAATTCTGATTTGGTTAAACTAAATTGGGTCCCATCAAAAGTTAAAAAAACTTTGAATAACGAGAGTTCAGTAACTTGTGCTGCTATACATCCCTCATTACCTCAATTAGTCAATGGTTGTTCGGATGGATCCTTCACTGTATGGAATGTATTGGATTTAGCTCAACCTATTGACATTATACAAGCTCATACGAAAACTTTGAATAAATTGGTAATCTCACCGGATAAGTTGGAATTTAACAATAATAATCATGTTATGGTAACTTGTGGATCAGATCTTTATGTAAAAGTATGGGATTGCTCCAATTACAAACTATTAAGAACTTTAACAGGTCATGAACATGTTGTTTCCTCAGTCGTTTTCAAAGAAGGTTCAAGATATATATTCACCTGTTCTAGAGATACCACAATCAAAATATGGGATTTAACAAATGGGTGGTGCCTTAAATCTTTTATAGGTCATTCAGATTGGGTAAGAACTTTAGATTTAACAGCATCCGAGTATTTGTTATCTGGTTCAAATGATCAAAGTATAAGATTAAGTCATGGTGATTCAGGTACCGGGTTGGGGATAATGATTGGTCATAATCAAGTTGTGGAAGTGGTTAAATTCTTGCCAACTTTATCAAATCAATACGTTGATAAAATGTTGACAAATTTAGAATCAGTGGATCAAGATTCTTACGATAAATTAGGTTACAAATATGCCGTAAGTGGCGGTAGAGATGATACAATAAAGATTTGGTTATTACCAATACCCATAATAAGACCTCATAATCACCCAATACCTTCTTCGAACCCTCAAGGTACTTTGATTAAAACTTTAATTGGTCATAAATCTTGGGTCAAAGATTTAATTATTCACCCGAATGGGAAATTCTTAATTAGTTGCTCAGATGATAAATCTATTAAAATTTGGGATTTAGAAAATGGTGATTGCCTAAGAACTTTACAAAATCATCATATGGGGTTTGTAAATTCAATTGCATTTGCTCCTCCAATTTTTGAAAATCCAAATGATCGGAAAACTCATGATCAAGCTTTAATTAATGAAAGTATGAGATGTTTATTCATATCAGGTGGTACTGATCAACTAGTTAAAGTATGGGAATAAATACAACTACATCAATAAACGTAATACAATTAATCTTTATTTTTTTTGTCAATGGAAGACCCCTCCTCTCTATAATTCAACACTTGATAAAATAGTTTTAAAACTATATGGTTCATATGGTTTACCACCACCAACGAAAAACTTGGACATACTTTCAACCCAATGTAAACGTAAAGAATGCAACATTGCAGAAGTACCCTCCATGATAACCAAGATAACAACAGTCAAGATAAACCACATACCGAAAAGGAAAACAATACTTAGGGAACCAATAAATCCAGTTGTTTTAAATGCTCCTTGAATAGTCATTGACCATAAAACTGTTGATAATTGTGCATGTGCTAATGATAACGCCCATAATCTTAAATATGATGCAGTATGTGAAACGGAATTTAAACAAAATTCAATAGTATGAATAACTTGATGAATCATAATATCTCCGAAGTTATGACCTTCATGTTCTTCATCATCATCATCTTGATGTTCTGCTAATTGATCAGGTTCTGTTGGTAAATCTTGAATAGCTTCAACATCATCATTCAATTCTTGATACTTTTGTTCTTGATTCATTTTATATTTAAAATACATTGGTTTTAATAATAATAACCAAGGAACACAAACTAATGCAATTAATAACAATGCAACTTGGATTTTTTCTTGTCCTGAATACAAATATTCTTCAACTTTACCTGGTGATAAAAACATTGAAATCAACATATTTAATAAACCTGGTGCTGGTTTACCAATTGAATTCCAATCAATTGACCATTTATAAACAATACAAATTGATAAATACCCAAATATACTTTGCATGAATAACAAACCTGGGATGAAATTACCAATAATATCAATCATTGAACTGAAATGTAAATGATTAACTAATGAAAAACAATATGAATAAGTCATATGAATAAAACCCATCAAGATTGACAACTTCATCTTGTAGGAATTTGTAAATAATAATGCATTTTCAGTTCCATGCCATGCAGGATCTATACCAATTGGATAGATACCAGTTTTGGAAGCAAATATTGTCTCACCTTCATGATGTTTTGGCCATTCCCAACCACTTTTGAAAAGTGTCATTGATTTGGAAAATAAATCATTATATAAAAACCCAGTATACATTGAAAAACATCCCATTAATAACAAGATATATCTCCCACTATAAGCCATATCGAAGATTTCATCTCTTTTTATACGTGCAATTTTATCTTCATGAATAACCAACATTAATGCAGCTAATCCTAAAATAAACCCGTGTCCCATATCACCAAACATAATGGCAAACATGAATGGGAATGTAACAATAGTTGGTAAACCCGGGTTCACTTCTTTATATTGAGCAACACCATAAGCATCACAAATGTTTTGGAAAGCATCTGTAAATTTATTAGTTTTATGATAAGTTGGTGGTGTTTTAGTGGTGTGTAAAGTGTTGACAATAGATTGTAATCCAGTGGAACTTGTTTGTAAGATTTGTTTAACTTGTTCAATTTCATTAGTTGGAATCCAACCTTCTGCAATTAATGCCTTTCTATTAACATCATAATCAAATAAATTCATAGTTTCATAAACAGATTTTTCCTTTGTGATTATAGCTGACCAATTTGATAATTCTTGTGCAATGGCAATCAGTTCAGTATCCAAAGTACGGTTTGTTGTTTCCAAAACAGTGGTTAAATCTGAATAATTACCATTAACTTCATCTAATAAAGCTTGTCTTTTAGATTCTTCAGATTCAATTTCATAAATATCTGCATCTAATGATTCTGCAATTTTCTTAATTCTTGAAATGATTTCATAACCATGAGAAAATACAATGAAAACATTCTTAGCAATGTTTTTTTAGTTTTTGGATCATAAATTGGTTCTTCAATTTCAATTGAATCTAAAAATAAATTCCCTCTCAATACTCTCCACAAGATTTTTTCCAATAGATTGATTTTACTTCTTGGAATGACACCAGTGACAAAACTTTGATTTGGAATTTGTTGTTGTTGTTGAACTTGATTTTCAACATCTTGAGAATCTTCATGTAAACTAACTAAATCAGCATTTTTGGAAGCTTTACTGAAGAATTCATCAGCTCCTTTTAAAACATGTCTCAATTGTTGTAAATCTTTCTTACGAGTTTCTAAAGTTTCGGAAGAATCAACCAATTGATTTAATCTTTGTTCTAATAATTCAGCATTTTCAACTTTCTCATCAATATCACTTGGTTTTGAAGGTGGTGAAAACTGTTCATCCTCGATATATGGAGCAGGTTTCAATTCAATTTCACGATCATCTAATTCATTCTTGAAGAAACGATATTGTCTTTCAACATTATCTAAACGTCTAATTTCTTGAACAAATGATCTTTGGAAAGTATTAACTTTTGAATTCAAATCTCTAAATTGAATAGTACCTGATTCACCAAGGGCATAAACAGCATCCCTACTAATCTCTGAAGGGATATATAGTTGCACCAAGGACATATCCGCAGCGCCTATATTATGAATGGTTAGCAAAAATTCCCTTTGAATTCTTCTCTAATTGAAGCACTAGTGCCCAATTCCCTTATCAACGAAGGGGCCAAAACAAAAGCAAATGAGTTCAAATCAATTGCCAAACCATTGGATAGTCTTCAATAAGAGCCAATTGCATGATACTTACGGAATATGGCTTCTTCTTGACCCATCTTTGATAGCCTAGCAGTACTTGAAGTTGATGTTTGATACTGGATGAGAAGGTTATTTATTCCATCTCCCTTTTAAATTTTAAACCAATCCAAATTCCAAAAAATTGGAATTGGGCAGCCAAAACCCATGCGCTCAATAAAGACGGTAGAGACACTCATAGATAGAGACACGTGAGTAGTCATGTGATGAGAAATTTCGCGAAATATACATTACTACTAGAGTTAAATAGCGTAAAAGTCATCTTCATTTTATATAAAATCTATAATCTATTCTGTAGGTACTAGAGTATCATCACTATCATCTGGTGCTTCCAAATGGTCTTCATGCTTTTTGAAAATTGTCGCAAAAGAGTATATTCCATCATTGATCCAACAATCACTATTGACTAGATCATTATGGCAGACAAGTCCATTTGATTTTGAACCATCAACTAATCCACATTCATATCTTGCTTGTTCAGAAGCTGATCTTGGACGTTTAACAACTGGTGATCTCTGACTATGATCACTAATTGCTATATAAAACCCATTATATTCTCTTGTATGTAATTTCCCATACCCAACAAGTTCAGGTATTTTAATAATCTCATGTCCAGGTTGAGATGTTTCCTCAGTAATTTCACGTTTGTTATAACTAGTTATCTTCTGATAACAATCTAGCTCGTTATAATAATAGTTTCTTATTATGGATTGACAAAATTGAAAAGGTATGAAAACATTATGCTCCATCATGAAAATTTCATCTTTCTTTTTATGATATTCATAAAATGAAATCATTCTTCGAAGATCAAATATCTTCAGTATCACTCTATCAGATGATGGCACGACAAGGGGAGCAAAACATTGAGTGAAGGCAATAGAATTCAGGCATAAAATCTCTATAGGACTATTTCCACCAGCGGATTTGATAACTTCATGATCTGGGACACTTTTGATAAAAACATCAATGGGGCCAATCTCTTGAGATACCCAAGGAAGAAATTTGGTAAAATAATCAGCAAATCCCTTATGTTTTGTAGTGGTAAGTTCACCTATATCAAGATTATCCACAATATTTGATATTTCAACTCTCCAAATATCATCTAATTTTGTCAATTGTTTTTCATTTAAGAAATCACTATTGTCATTTTCCAATGAAAGTGATTCTAAAAGTTCCACTGCAAGTAATAATCTTGTGGAAATATTGAGCTCTGAACTTGATGCATCAATAAACCTATTATTCAAGTGTTTTGAATCTATGATACACTGTAAAGTATCATGACAATTGCTTCGAAGCACTTTTGGATTTTTGGGGAATCGAGCAAACATTGTCGAGTAACCATCTGTGATAAATCCTATTCTTGATTTTTCAAGTATCAAATTGACCAACAACTTATTAATATCTTGGTCAATATTGTCCCATCTATCTTGTAGTTGATAATCTTCACTAAAATCTATAGATGGTTTCTTGAGGTTCAAGATAGTTTTCACCTCACCACTTGTTTGATCAACAATATATAAATCAGGTTTGATGATAATTTTAGATAAACGACGAGCTGGTGAATCTTCCGGAAGCAATTGCTCAATTCCATACATTTCAGCACCAAAGGTATCATCATAAACTTCAAGGTTAGTGTGAAACAATCCATTGAAAAACATCTTGATAGGTGATAATAAGGAGGCATGTAAAACAAGCCTCATATCAATTTCAGATCTTGACAAAGTATGGTCAGAAACTATCTGGGCTAACATACCTCTTGTTAACCCCCAGAAATATGTCTTGAAAGTTGATTCACATCTTCTTTGAGATACAACATGATCAATCTTGGATTCAAATTTTGAAATTAAACCTCGCAATCTAACATCCAAATCTGGAGTGAAATCTAAACATGCTTGAACATCAACCAAGTTTCGACTTAACCAATTAGTTGAATCATAGCTATGGAAACCTCTAGGAACTCTGATTTGATCCTCAAAGTTCAACATTGGAACTATAAATGCAATCTTGTAAATGTTGTAAAAAAAATCGCCATCGAGTAGTTCACAAACTGGATGATCTGGGGCAGATTCTGGAAGTTGATTGATTAGATGCTTGATTGTACATCTTAACAAAAGAGTATCAACTTCAGTAATGTAATCTTCATAGTGATCCACTTCATCAAGATCTTTGTAAAAATTGTTGAAATTGATCTCAAGAAGTGGTTTATCCAATTCTCTTTGGATGTTGATGAGGATTTGAGTGAAATTGTGTAGGACGAACTCAGTCTTGAGCTCGGTCAAGGGTTTCGTATAGTTTCTATACATTCCAAATAACTAGTGAAAGTAGTCTTATTCATATTGAAAATGGATTGGATGAGTTGAATTCAAATTGGTGGGAATGGTTCAAATTTATATGCCAAAAGTACATTTTTTTATTCTTCTCGATAGAGGCAAAAAATTGAAAAATCATCATAATAACCATCATCATCAAGAAATCATCAGCAAAGAACTAACCTTCAAAATGACCAACACCTTCACATTCACAACTCCCCAAAGAAGAATATTGTCCAATGAGGACATGGAAAAATGGCAATCCAGCGAAACCCATGAAGATATAGTCCAATTCGTTACAGAATTAGCAGATTCAGTAGTTGGCAAAGAGAACTCGTCAGAATGTTACATTTCTTCAAACACACAGGCTGTTCTTGATATATTAGATGTTGTATTGGGTATAATTAAAGCACATCCAGTGGTTCAGGATAAAAACACTTCAAGATTTGGTAAAGTTGAATTCAGAGATGTTTATGATGAAATTAATACAAAATCTGGTGATATACTGAAGGAACATTTGGATGAGCTATCCAAGATTGAAGGTGATCCTACAATAGAATTAACTACCTATTTCAATGAATCATGGGGGAATAGAACAAGAATTGACTATGGATCTGGTCATGAATTGAATTTTCTTGCACTTTTGTTGTGTTTGAGGAAACTAGAGATCTTTACTCCGGAGGATAATACAGCGATTGTTTTACAAATCTTCAACAAGTATATATCGGTGATGAGAGTTTTCCAAAAAGAATATTGGCTCGAACCAGCTGGCTCACATGGTGTTTGGGGGTTAGATGATTATCATTTCTTACCATTCTTATTTGGTGCTGCTCAATTATCAACACATCCACATTTACGTCCAAAATCAATCCACAATAAAGATCTCGTGGAGGAGGTTCATGAAAAATTTATGTATTTTGAATGTATCCATTTCATCAATTCCATCAAAACTGCATCTTTAAGATGGCATTCACCAATGTTGGATGACATTAGTGCAGTCAAGACCTGGAAGAAAGTCTCTGAAGGTATGATTAAGATGTATAGAGCTGAAGTTTTAGGTAAACTACCAATTATTCAACACTTCTTTTTTGGTTCCATATTGAAAGCACCTGAAGGTTGCTCACCACCAAGAGAAACAGACCATGATGATTCTTGTGATCACCACCACGATCATGATTCAGAGGAAGGATTGCCTCTTCATCAACATACTTGGGGTGATTGTTGTGGTATCAAAATTCCAAGTGCAATTGCAGCTAGTGAATCCAACAAGAATAAACCAATTCCATTTGATTGAATTCCCTACATCCAAACAGAAGAGTCATCACAATCGTTAAAATTAGGTATATATATACAATACAACAACCTACCAACCAAATCTCAATTGAGCAGCTGTAAATACAGGTGGTTTCCATATTAGTAGTTCTGGGTTAATAGAACGTCTCTTTTTCTTCTCAGTCTTCAAATATTGAGCTTCAACTTCTTGACTCAGATATATAACATGTTGACCTTTGAAATATTTTAACATTGATAATGTTTGGGCAGTATGTAAGATATCAGTTGTTGTCATTGATGTTCTTGAACTTATTTCATCAATTGTAATATGATCTGAATCATTCTCCATTAATAATTTAATAATGGTATCAGCCCAATAAGCTCTATAAGATAACAAACCTAAATCTGACAATGGTTTTTCAGGAGAACCAACTTTACCTTCCTTTTTAGATAATTCATATGAAAATTCAATTAATAATCGACCATACCCCATTCTTTGATATTGTGGTAATGTTAAAATACATGCAAGGTTATAACCTTCAGCAGATTCTTTTTCCTTTGAGAAATAACCAACTAAATGATGCCCTTGTTCATCTCTTCTTGTCATACAATAAAATAAAAAGGGATCAACATCATAATAAAGTGTTTTATGATCCAAGAATAATTTTGAAAACAAACAAACATTACGACACCATGTTCTTTGTTTACGACCATCAATCTCAAAAAATGAAACATAATCATCTCTATAAATTTCATTGCCTGGTGGGTGTCTTAGTGTACATTTTGATCTAAATCTTTCAAATTGTTTCTTTGATCCGAAAAATTGTAAAGTGAAGTCATCAATATAAATCACATCTTCCTCTGTTAATTCAACTGGATATGGAGAGAAATACCAAGGTTCGATTTCATGATTACCCATTATCACTTTACTCAAGTTACGAACTCTCGCCACTTCACCAGAGCTTTGTGTCATTGACCCACCTGTTCTTAATTTTTCAATTTCATCCTCTCTTGAAATTTCTTCAGTCCTCAGACCTTGAACATTCAAATTATCTAAATCCATAACATCATCTCCTTGAGGTGGAACACTTGAAGGTGTTGCAGGTGTAGCTGATTGTTCTTTGATATCTTTCTTTTTCTTCTTGTTCTTACTTGTAGCTTGTTTCTTTGTTGGTTGTTTCTCTTTTTTAGGCGTATCTGGTTTGGGGAAAGTCACTGGACGTGAAAAATCTATTCTATCAAGTTCAATCCATTCATCTAGACGCTTATTGAACTCATCATAATGCACATAAAATACTTTTCTCCCCTTCTTAACATGGATAGATAATAGTTCAGCCAATCTGTGTTCACCATCTTTCTCAACAAAACATTTACAACCAAGTACCAAATCATCGACAGTACAGATCTTGCTTTCACCTTTCACTTGCTCTGCAGGAGTGCCCTCTTCATCAGGCGTACTGATACCCATTTTGATGGCTTCTTGTTAAGAGATAACGTTTGTTTTGTTGATTGATGACTTTTTATTTTGATTTTGATTTTCTCATATGGATCTAGAAATTTGTACACCCGAACACCACGATATAACGCTACAAGGTTTCAGAGCTCACAATTCTCTATATTAATATCTATCTCTAAACTGTTCAGGATCAAACGGAATTCCTGGGTCTGATTCTGGAGTGGCATCTGGATTCTCCCTCCAAATTTTGATACTCTTATCAGCTTCACCAGTTATCAAACGCATACCAGTTTTATCAAAAGTACTAGAAAATATACCGGCTTCAGATTCCAAAGAACCTGGCATTGTTGTAGTTTGTAATTCTTGAAATTTATGACCAGAATTCCAGTCGAAAAATGCCAAAGATCCATTATTACCACCACTAAACATGACATTGTCTTGATTTATGGATAGTGTATTGATGATACCTTCATGACGAGGCATGAAGTTGTGCATGAATGAACCTTCTGGGAACTTCCATTGCTTGATATTATCAGGTGAAGCAGTAGCAAATGCGTATTGTGTTGGATGTAATGCTAGTCCTCTTATTGGTTTTTTATGATGTGTTAATACAGTTTGTGTTTTACCAGCTGCTAAATCCCATAATCTTATTGTTTTATCATTAGATGTACTTATGATTTGAGGATCTGTGGCTTGACATTTCACTTTGGTTAAAGGTTGAGTATGTCCACTTAGAGTGAATATCCCTGTACTTGTTCTCATATCCCATACTCTAACAGTAGAATCTCTACTACCTGTAACCACAACATCTAATGTTGGATGGACATCTAATGAGTAAACTCCCGATAAATGACCATAATAATCTCTAATAACTCTATTTCTTTCAAGATCCCAACATTTCACTGTCTTATCTTCACCACATGAAAACATATATGGATGGCGGTCTGAAATTGCAATATCTCTAACGGTCATAACATGTCCAGTTAATGTTAGTTTCAATTGACCTGATGCTAAATCCCAAACTTTGATTGTATTATCATTGGACCCCGAAGCGAACCATTTGTTTTCCGGTTCAACTGCTAAGCTTCTAACCCAACCTTTATGGCCACCTATCACTCTCATTAATTTCCATGGTGCATGCCACTCAGGTTTTTCTGGAATATAAAACTGTTGATGTTGTTGTCGTTGTACTAAGGCTCTTGATGCATTGTGTTCAATCTTTGGATCATGTAGTACTAGTTGATTTCCATTTGTGTCCAAGTCTGCTGGGGAAGGCTGTTGGGTCCTTATTATTAGTTGATCTTCAGCTTCTTCTTCGGTTTCAAGTTTAGGTGCTGTTTTCTTTGTCTTGGAGTTGATCTTTTCTTGCAAATATGCGGGTAGTTCATAGGTATGCTTGTATTCTCTGGTGAATTTTGATTGAACATATTCACTGAATCTGAAAATGTTAGTATTGTGAGGTTTGATAATGAAGTTGGAGATACTTACGATTCTTTATCATCAAATAGTGGTGATTCTGTATTTTGGAACAATTGTGAAGTTCTTTCTCGTAGCACATCAACGGCTTTCTATGGGAAATAGTTAGTAGAGATCCTAAAAACATTTATTCAAATAACTCACCTCAACGTTACCAGTAAATGCCATTTTCAATTTGATTTTTCTCAATAATGCGAATCTTGATGTTTCCACAAGTTGTTTATAGCTTTCAACTTTTTTTCAATTGATAGAATCAACGACATCGCTCACAACCAGCAGACCTCCAAAGAAAATTTATTTCACCATCTCATCGCTTCGAATTGAAATAACCAAAAAAGAACAAACTGCTGAGTTCAAAGATGTCAAAAGCTAAAAGACCAGTCGAATCTGACTCTCCAATCGAGAATGTCAAGAAGCAAAAAGTTGAATCCACACCAGAATCAGCACCATCAAAGGGAATCGTTGAGACAGATGTTGGTATAACTAGTTATATATCTCAAGATTTAGCTGGGTTCACAGGTACTTTGAAGCAAAGATACACTGATTTCTTGGTCAATGAAATCGATTTACAAGATAATGTTGTCCATTTTACAGACGAGGGTATTCCTGATAAGAAACAACGTCGTCGTGAACGCAGAGAGAATGAAAGAGATGTTCAAAAAGAAGAGGAACCAAAAGAAGAACCAAAAGAATTTCAACTTGATGCTGCTCATAGAATCAAATTATTAGAAAACTTCGGTGAAGAAGAACTATCCAAGATTGAAGAAGTTTTGAAAAATGGCTCAAAATTCGAATCCTCTAAAGTTTTTAATGAAAAGAAAACTCGTGGTGAAATTCATCAATTGTTCAGAGAAGCTTTCCAAAGTAAGATCGAAACCAAAACCACTGATAAAAACACTTTCCAATTTTCATTAGCCACTCGTAACTCAAGAGCTTTTAAGCCAAAGCAACAAGTTGACACCAGAGATGAAAATGGTGTTGAAAATTATGGATTAGGCCCATTGAAGGATTTCTTACATTTCAAATTATACAAGGAAAACAAAGATACAATGGAAGCTGCAAACTTACTTTCAAAATTCCTAAGATTACAACCAAAACAGATAAGGTATGCAGGAACAAAAGATCGTCGTGGTGTTACTGTTCAAAAATTATCAATTTCCAAAATAAAAGTTGAACGTGTTAATTCATTAAACAGAACTCTACGTGGGTTGAAGCTTGGTTCTTTTTCTTATGAAAATGAAGGTCTAAGTCTTGGTGATTTACATGGTAATGAGTTCCTTATCACTTTAAGAGACGTTCAAAGTCTTGATCCAAGTCAACCTATTGAAGAAGTCATTTCAAAATCCCTTGAATCTTTGAAAACTCATGGTTTTATAAATTATTATGGTATGCAAAGATTTGGTACATTTTCCGTTTCAACACATACTATTGGTAAGGAAATCTTGTTGGGTAATTGGAAAGCTGCTGCTGAACTGATTTTATCAGACCAAGAGTTTGTCTTGCCAGATTCTAAAGAAGCTAGAAAGATTTGGTCAGAAAGTAAAGACGTTTCAAAAGCCTTAGAATTAATGCCTAGAAAATGTGTTGCTGAATACACCATTTTGAAATATTTGAGTACTGAAAAGAAGGAAGATACTGGAGATTATAAAGACCATTCCTATTTCCAAGCCATTATGAAGATTCCTAGAAATTTAAGAATCATGTATGGTCATGCTTATCAAAGTTATATTTGGAACTCCATTGCAAGTTTAAGAGTTGACAAATATGGGTTAAAAGTTGTTGCTGGTGATTTGATTGTTGAAGAAGAGGCTGAAAAACCAGTCAACACTGATGAATCTGCTGAAACTGAAATTTTTGAAGAAGATGTTAGAACTGATAAATACCAAAGAGCAAGACCAGTTACTGAAGAGGAAGCTGCCTCTGGTAAATTTTCAATCTATGACATTGTTATACCTACTCCTGGGTTCGATATAAACTATCCAGAAATCCCTGATATCAAGGCAGGTTATAAAGAATTGATGGAAAAAGATGGTTTGAACCCTGATGATATGGTTAGAAAAGTCAAAGAGTTCTCATTTGCAGGCTCTTATCGTTCATTAATTGGTAAGGCAAAGAATCTAGATTATCAAATTAGACATTATGAAGAACCAGCTCAACAATTGGTTTACACAGACTTGGAGCTTTTACACAAGAAACAAAAAGGTGAAGAAGTTGAACAGGTTTTACCAGATCAAGGTGGTTCAAGAGTTGCAATAATCTTGAAATTTCAATTAGAAGTTTCAGCTTATGCTACTATGGCATTGAGAGAAGTTATGAAAGCTGATACAAGTCGTCGTAGTGAAATGTGCGACGTTAAAGTTTAGAATATTTGTGTATAATTCTTACAAACTTTCATATTTATATTTCTGTAATATTCATAACAAACCATTATGTATGCTTAACCTATCATTAAAAGAAAAAAAGAAGTAATTATGGGTGATTAAAAAAAGTTCAAGACATCCATTTCAGTAACGGATCAAATATATGTACAATGTATGAAGGGAAAATCAATTTAACAACTTTAGTAAAAAAAAACATTTTCATAAGAGCGTGAAACTAGACAACTTAAAAGTCCTGACTGTTGAAATCAAAATCATAAGAAGGTCTATATCTTCCTCTTGTTTTTCTTTTAGATATGGTAGATGAAGATTTTGATGAGTTTTTAGAGCCAGTTTTACTATCCAATGAGTTGATAAATCCTTCTAAATGTTCTTCAGTTTCTTTCACTTTTAACTGTTCTTTTTCTTTTGGTGATGGTGGTGGGGTGAATGGTTTCAGATCTTGTGTAGTCTCATATGGCACTTGATCCCATGAGTCTTCCAGCTTTTGAGTTCCTGTGGCACTTTGAGACCAAACACTTGGAGCTTTGAAAAAATCTTCTAATGCAGATAGTTGTTCATTCTTGCGGTGGAACACTAATAATGGTCTATGTCCATTCATAAGATGGTCAAATGCGATTTCTTGATATGTAAAGAATTTTGTACTTGGGACTTTTGGGATTGCTGAATAATTGACTTTGACTTTTTTACTCTTCTTTGCTTCAGCAGTTGGTTTAGCAGGAGCTTTAGGATGTTGTGCTATAAGGTTTTGATTACTCATGGCATTGTATTTATCTGATTGTTTTTGTTTGGCAACCTTAGCAGCAACTTCAGCTTTGGCCTTCTCATCTGATGACGCTGTTTTATTTGATTGATATCTGACAGTGGCGACTTGGAATGCAGAGTTCCTTTTCAGGAACCCAGCAGAGGATCTCTTTGTGAGCTGTGACAGCATTTTAGGGTAGACTGGTTTGGACATGACGGGGTATTCTTAACTTAATTGTATTAAGCTGATGTTATTTTGGTGATAATTTAAGGATATCAACATAATCATTCAAAATTTTGAGATTTTGGTTTCACGGGCTCGCGCCAAAGTCAGGCCATTTGCGGGTAAACGGCTGATTCGCGAATTTTAGGGTCGCGAATTCGTTCTACAAATTCAATCAGCATCATTATGGATTTCATTAAAACTAATAATACAAAAATTGGAATTGTTCTTGAGGTAAAATGCAATGGAGGATATGCCAGAATGGTTCATTAGTTTATAACAGATAGGAATCTGTTGTGTGCTGGAGTTTGGTAAGCTGCCAATCTGTCAGTTGGTAATGTGGATGATCTCTTGACATTTTGCAATTGGGCTTGAATGAAATTATATGATTCTCTTGATAGCATTGGAGATGGTGAGGCTGATGGACCACTGCTATATGTTGAGAAATAGTTGGTACTAGCTTCTGACATGTTTTGAGAACTTGAAGAAGAATCCGATGAGCTAAACTCACTTCCAGAGATAGATGTCAACGATTCATTATCTGCATCATCAAAATCACTAATACTCTCCTCACTGTCATAATCACTGATGATACCGAATACTTCTTCAGCATACTCTTGTTGTTCAGTTGGTTCTGGAATTTGTGAGATTCTATGAATTTCTAATTTGGATTCAATTCTGGCAGCAATTGTTCTGCGCAGATAACCTTTCCATAAATCACGAATCAAATCATCATTATCTTTTGGATCATAATATGTTTCATCAAACTCTGAGCCAATATCTTCATCATGTACAACTTTTGTTGCAATATGTGGATTTGTTATATCTTCAGTTGATGCTAAATCTTGATAAGGATGATATGGTGTAGTTTTTGGTTGCAATAGTAATGGTTGAACTTTTGGTTTTTCTTGGAGCACATCAGCACCAGTTGGTGTTGAAAAGCTTCTATTCATAGGATGTGTTTGATTCAATTTGCTTTGTTGTTTCGAAACTCTCAACATTGGTGTTGATGCAATACGATGAGGTGGTAATGGCGGTGGTATTTTCTTGAAAGATGAAGTTGAACCATTTGACACTACTCTATGTTGTGGAGTTGGTGGTCTTTGAATAGAAGCAACTTGTGAAAGCTCTGGTTTTTGGGGAACATACCAATCGTTAATTTCTCTCTTCAGTTCGGAAATACTTTTAGCTCTTCCTCTTTCTAACGGCATTGAAATGTTTTTCTTCTTCATGGAACGCTTGTTGAATTTGAATCTTCTCTTAGTTGTTTTAAATGCTTTCTTAACAGAAATCAATCTCCATTGCTTCAATTTTTTCTTGATATTAATACCCATTTGTTTCAATCTTGTTAACCAACCAACTTTATATTTCACAGCTTTTGATCTCTTCAAAGAAGCCTTACGGTACAGTGATGAATCACTTCTCATTGATGATCTTGTAATTTGATATGTGATGTTGTCTTGTGTTGGAATTGAAAATCCATCATTACGAGTACTTGGATGTGTTTGAGCTGATGGTTCACTAAAATTAGATTCCTGATATTCATTCATTTGAACGGAACGACCATTATCACTAAAAGCAGCTTTTGATGCATCTTCTTCTTCAGAAATGTAATAAATTTCATTACCTCTTGTTGGTCTTTCTTCCTTTGGTGCTTGATTGTTCTTGCTGTGTGATGATTGTTCATATTTGAAGTATGGTTCAATACTTGGTCCAGTCAATTCAACTTTATCATCCTTAGAAATGTGATGTATAATTAAATCTTCATCACTTGGAAATTTGAAATTCATTTGAGGACCTTCATAAGTATCAGCTCTTTTATGGGTTTTAACTGACATGATTGTGATGTGAAATCTTCTGAGTGTGTTTGAGTTTGACTATGATTATGAAGAAGGAAGAGAACCATCACCAAAAAATGCCTGATCCCATTCTATATATAGGGCTCATTTAACTACTGCAAGCATAATTTTCATGGCACCATGCATCTTTCCCAATGTAGAAATACATCTTGATCTATATCAATTTTGTGCTTGAAGTGAGGCTAGCAGATACCGTTGAAATAAATTGAATTCGCGATGGCTGGCACATCCGTAAAGGGTAAATTACGGTTAATTCAGTCACATGATCATTAACATCAAATACGAGGGCATTTTAATGTTAAGGCCACTCGCTTCTAAACATTTTAACTTGTCTGATGAGTTGAATAGTATAGGAACTAATCACTTTTCTCTGATATACCAACCCAAACAGCTCTTCTAGTATCAATGGCTTCCAAGGAATCCCCACCAAGATCGGACAAGGGAGATGATCTAAAAGAAGCCAGCTCAATACATCAAGAGGTGAATGATGTTGAAGGTTCAAGTGAAGTGCTGCCGACTGATGGAGATCAGGTTTCAATAGGTGAACTTTCAATAGGCTCAAGTGAAGATGATACCCCAGAAGAAGAGCCCTTTACCAAAGAAAGAGTGGATGAATCCAATGCATCCCACGCTACAAATGAAATTGTTTTGCCAGAGATCGATGTCACACAGTCCCATGGTCAAGATACCACCAAAGAGAGCTTTAATATTACTGGAAATACTTATATCACCGAAGAGACTTCTAACTCTACTGATTACAACGCTGGAAACTATGAAGCTGCTACAGAGGATCATTATGAAGAAGGAAATGATGAGGAGTATCAATATTGTAATGAAGATGAAAATCACCAAAACGAGGGAGAGGGCTACGATGAGGAAGGTTATGATGAAGAAGGTTATGGAGAAGGCACAAACTACAACGAAGGTGGGCAATATGATTACAACCAAGTTTACGAACAAGCGCATACCGCAGGTTATGATGAAGGTTACACTGCGGGATACAATGCCGGTTATTCTGAAGCCTACGCTGTTGCAAATAAATCATATCAGGACCAGCTTGCACAGCTACAACCAGAATCCAAATACTTGCTAAATTATGATAGACTACCCAAAAATGCAAAAAAATATTGGAAACAGCGTTATTTCCTGTTCAAGAAATTTGATCAAGGTATTCATATGACATCAGAATTATGGTATTCTGTCACACCTGAAGATATAGGGATTTTTGTTGCCAAATTTATCCAAGCATGTAACCCCGATATCCAATGCGTTGCTGATATTTGCTGTGGTGGAGGTGGAAATACAATACAATTTGCAAGAAGATTCAAGAAAACTATATGTATTGATATCAATGATGACAATCTATACTGTACAAAAAAGAATTGTGAAGTATATGGTGTTTTAGAAAAAGTTGAGCTTCGACAAGTTGATTGGACTAAAGTAAAAGGGACAGAATATTTTGAATATTTGAAACAAAATGTTGACTTGATATTTTCATCTCCGCCATGGGGTGGTCCTGCTTATAAAGGTAAGGATCTTTTTGATCTAAGCCTGCTTCTTCCTATGCCAATAAAAGAACTGTTAGTTTCATTCTTTGAAATCTCGCCAAATGTTGTGTTGTTTTTACCTAGAAATTCAGACTTGACTCAGCTAGCGGAAGTTACAAGAGAAATATTAGGGCCTGATGCGAAGTGTCGAGTTTTATACACATATTGTGGAGGTTACATTAAAGGAATTACAGCCATATGGGGTGATAAATTCATGCCAGAAAATTATGCTACTTATGAACCAGATCATCCAGAACATGTTGCTAAAATGGATATGGATTCTTACAGATCAAGAAGTGAACGAGCTGACCAACCAAAGCCAACAGAAGCTGGCTCAAGTGTAGATATAGAGCTTGATTATTAAATGTGCATAATATTTGGTATACTATAATCTGCTGTAGTGACAACGAAATGATTCTACACTGATAATCAAATTAAATGTTAATGTTCTATATGTAGTCACTAAGGTCTCATTTTAACAACTTCTGGCAGTTGATTCAATTGTTCATTATTCAAAGGTCTAAGTGTATCATGTCTCCCAGATTCTCGTCTTGATTCATTCACATGAATTGTTGAGATCAAACTTTCACGAACTCTTTTGGCACTTTGTAAAGCTTTTATTATCTTTTCCTTATTTTTCAGTTCAGCTTTCAGTTCAAAAATTTCATCTTCTTGGTCTTTCAGTATCAAGTCAACTTCATTTGCTGATGCATGCTTAGATGGGGAAAATGCTTGGTGTCCGACTTTAACTCTTTTACCAGATGATTGGTTTTGAACTTCAGTTTTGAGTTGATGCTCCAAATGATTTATATACGATTTGTATTCATCAATCTCTGAATAAGTCTTTTTGAATAATTCTTCAACTTTCAAGATCAGTTCTTCATTTGCAGCATCCATATCCTGGTTACTCAACTTTGTTAAAATATCATTAACAATATCATTCTTCAAAACAACCCTACCAGCATTACTTTCATCATTGAGCCTCTTATAATGCTCTAATCTCTCTACCAAAATACGATTTTCAGCAGATAATTGTGCGACCTCTTCTTTTGATACTTGATTTGACGCATCTCCACTATCAATATTTTCATCACCTATTGATGTACCCTTCGAGCTCTTCAACAACAATAGTTCCTCTGCTTGTATTTGTACTTGTGATTTTAACTTTTCAATCATTCTATCCTTTTCAGATGTGAGATCTATTTCATGCTTCCGTACAGTCAAACTAATATTCTTAGCTCTAGCTGCAAACCTCACAGTATTGACAGTTTCTGCTAATGCATTTTGACCAGTGTGAATTGTACACAACACCGAAACAAGAGAATCCCCGGACAATGCTGGTTGTAATAATCTTGTCAATTTTGAATCTCTATAAGGAATATGTCCTGCACTTGTGGTTGATGAAGATAGCTTAACAATGACACTACCTAATGCCAAAAGTGATTTATTGATATATGAACCTTCTTTTCTTCTTTCATGTTGGGCAGTAGCTTTTTCAGAACCTGCTAAATCACACAGTGATAATGTACTAAAAGTTTCAATCCCAGTGACAGTATTTGTTGTACATACTCTCACAAGGACAATAGCATGGGAACGCGAACTTCTAGTGTTAAAATCAGTTTCACCAGTTCTTCTATTCAAATCACCTTTCTGTATGATGTTTAATAATTCATGTTCTGAATTAACTTTCTCTTCCACCAGTCCAATAACTTTGACTCCATAATTTGGAACATCTCTTATTTTCAATTCTGTTTGGGTATTATTTAAGGCCGGATTTGTTAATTGATTTATATTCAATAAATCATAAATTTTCTCATTATAGATTTCCAAATATGACACTTTTAGTTCATGTTTATAGATCTCTTTATCTGCATTTTCAATATGATTAAAAATCTCATTAATTGATAAAGGAATCACTCCAGGTTCTCCCTTAATACCAGACATCGAATATGTTTTACCAGAGCCTGTCATACCATAAGCAAAGACAGTGGCATTGTAACCATCCATTAAAGACTTTATTAAATTTTTAACAACCTTATCATAAACTTCATAATTACTGACTGAGGGATGGAAAACGTGATCAAACTTGAAATCACCAATTTCATTATGTTGAATTGAGTCGTTTGTTAAAAACCAAGGATCTTTCAGGAATGTGTCTGATGGTTTTGCTCTAATTGCAACTGATATAGATCCAGTGTATGGCTGGGAAGGGGTTATGAATGATGGTGTTTGTGGTCTTGACGTGCTGGAGCTTAGACTTGAGCCTGGTCTCTCTCTAACTGGTGAAAATGCTCTGTCATAGCGTGATATAGAAGATGGAGCTCTGAATCCACTAGATGGTGTTTGTGCTCTGGATGATAAACTTGAGCTTGGTCTCAAGTTAGGAGTTGAAGGCAGGTTGGAATGTTGTTGACGTCTGGGAGTCTGACTGCGTGAATACATCTTTGGTTAAAAGTAAATGCTTCAAGACAATCTACTTACAATGAAAAGCAAAGTCTCTTATTCAAACAGTTTAAATGGACCTAAAGTTAAATCTTGTATTTTTTTATTCAGATCTGAAAACGTAAACCAAAAAACTGAATTTTCGCGGAAATGTAAACAAACGGGTAATGTGGCATGAGGGCGACTATGACCGTAGATGATACCGTAAACAACTACAAATTGAAAGTAGAAAGTAAAACAGTCATATAATATAAAAATGGCATAAAAAATACGTTAAAAGTAATTATGGTGTAAGCTCTAATCATTAGCAAACCCTGGATATAACATCACATAAATAAATCATTAGAAAAAAATGGTTAAAAAAAATGACTTTTTTCTCATCTTGTGGTTTGAATTAAAATGCTTATTTAGCTTTAGCTAAACCGACAGCATCATTACCTAAATCATAAATAGAATAGTATTTACGTAAGAATGAGTCACCCAAGATAGCCAATGGACCGATTGGAGCTGGGAAATCTAATGGGGTGAATGCTGAAATACATGAACCTGAAACTTCCAAGGTGTAATCATATGGACCAATAGTGAAATTGTAACCATCCAAGTTGAAGGTCAAGTCTGGTAAGCTATCTCTGGTTTCACAATCAACAGAGTATTGGCCTGACCAACCTTTCTTAGCACCAATTTCAGCATTTAAAATTTCAGCTAAACCAGATGGTAAAGCAATTAATGAAGTACCGGTATCAATGGCAGCACCAGTGTTTTCTAATTCAGCGAATTCATCACCTAATCCAATACCATTGAATTTGACTTCCCAGTAAGCTTTACGGCGAACTGGTAACCAAGTAACTTTACCGCTGTATTTTGATTCATCAACACCACCAAAAGTAGCAACACCACCATCTTCACTCTTATCGGAATCACCCAAGTAGAAGGCGAATTTTGGTTCATCAAACAAACCAGCATTAATGGCTTGATAAACTGGAGGGACAATTTTGTTGACAGAAATAGTATCATAAGCTAAACCTAAAATACCATCAAATTTACCAAAGGCAAAAGCTAAGCCTGGTTCACTTGTTGCTTCAGCAAAATCTTGTTTTGGAATGATCAAATCACCCAATTGTAAAGTATCTTGAGAGACATAACCTTCTAAAGAACCTGAACCATATCTAATGGCAAAGTCAGAACCATTGGCTTTATAAGTTGATGAAGCTTCATGATCAAATTTGGAATGTAAATAACAAGCCAAAGAAGAACAATCGGTACTTGGAACCCACAAGTTTGAAGAACCAGTATCTAAAATGACTTTGAATGGTTGGCCTGGAGTACCTAATTGAATTTCAGTGTAATATTGAGCATTCAAATAGTTGGTTAATGGAGTTTCATGAGTCCCATCTATAAATGGAACATCAGATTCAGGGTATGCTTTTTGGAAAAGACCCAAGTATTTTTGACCCATTTGGCGAACATGTTCATCAAAGGTAGCATCTTTCAATTGGTCATCAATTGGACGTTTGATAGTACATAAAATCAAGCAAATCAGTTAATACAGATTAACAGCTATCCAAAGAGCCTACTTTCAACTTACTACCATGTCTGGATCAGAAGATGATCCGAATAGGGTCTCGGAGAATCCACCGAATGATGGAAATAAAACCTCTGAAAACACCCCCCAAAACGCTTCAAATGAAGCTGAAACCAATGAAAACTATGAAAAAAACCAAAAAAATCAAGAAAATACTACTGAAAACCCAAAAAAAATGCAGAAAACCCAAAAAACTCGGAAAATTCTTACGCTGCCAGAGCTGCTGCAAATGGTGGTGCCAAAAATTTTTCGGAAAAAAATGAGTCACGTGACCAGATCACTATTATGAAGGACAACTACTTTAACAGAAATACTGGTATTAGAGCTGCTAGATATGCCAATGAAGTAGACAATTTAGGGCCCATGAAGTTCCTGAGGATACTATCTCACATTTCCAAGGATTAGCCTC